AGTCAGCGGCCATTTCTTGGGAGATAGCGCCCATCTGCAAGATAATCATCTGTGGCGCTGCAGTAATTGGAGTCGTTTCCTTTTGAGGTTATACAGTGTTATAAAGTCTGCAATTTCATAGACGGATATGGGAATTCGATCGAAGGCGCGTTTTTCACCCTGTAATCGTTTAGGTTTTGACCCCTTTCATGAGTTTCTTTCAGCCGACTCGTTACCGGACGTGGAGCCTTCAAATTGAAACGGGGACATCGGATTCGGGGGCGGGGTGGGGGCCGGGGGTTCTATAGGGGTGCGGTATCAGGGTACGTTATTTATTTGTGTCAATGAGGGAACCTGGAAGGCACCCCATGCAAGCCTGGTTTATCCTGTCAGGGTGCCACGTTTTGCCCAAAAGAACCCCAACACGTCCTGAAGAAATTTTAATCTTTATTTACTTATGTCAGGGGACTGAGAAGTACGGCGATACTTACATGCAGTTACTCAGCTTCCGTGTTGTGCTACCTCCAGATTCCATAGAATTCTATCGCTCCGACGTCTATGTGGAAGAATCTACACACGAGATTCGGTGTCAACTCGAGTTAACCCCCCCAAACTGTCAAATCTCTCCGAATAAGAAGTCTATATCTCCGAACGCTTCATCATTTATCGTCTTCTGGTTCCGTCAACAGCAAAAGGAGAAGTCCTTCTACGCTCTGCTGGTCGCTCGTCGACAAGGTATCGGCAACCTGGCACATCCTCCGAACAGGGCAAGAAGTCACGAAGGATATACTACAGTGATCGTGTCAGGCCAGGGTCGATTCGAGGTCTAGACCGTTATCTTGGGACCTGTTTAATTATAGGATCTTCATCCTTCAAGCTTCACCGAACGCATTTGTGAGTTATTTAAGATACTAGTCATTCGATCGGGGAATGTGTGGTCAAACTTTCGTTGAACTCAAGCTTCTATTAGTGCCATACAAGATTCGAAACCGCTCAACTTCAAAAGGTACTCGTACGTATCATGGGCTAGATTGGTGGAGTCTAAATTTTTCTTCCAGACTCCACAATTTGAAAACTTCCCATCCTTCTTCACCGGACGTTGTACGGTGTACATTTATGAGTTATTTAAGAGTCATTCGATTGGGAAATGTGTGGTCAAACCTTCGTCGAAGTGACGATTGAACTTCTATCAGTGCCATACAAGATTCCGAGCCGATCGACACTTCAAAGGGTGCACGTGACTACGCGTATCACGCACGTTTTGCTGGATTGGTGGGTTCTAAGTTCTTCTTCTGGACTGACAATTTCTGCCACTGGGATACACTTTAAGCCAATAGGCATGCCATCACGTTTTGGGAATTCATCCAAATAGGCTATCTTGGCTTACAGACTAGTTCGGTGATTAAAGGTCTGAATGTGGGGCAGAGAATTTTCCTTTGACAGCGCAAGACATATGATACGGGCGGCTGCTACTAGTATTAAATATAGGGCGAGTGATTAAGCCGTGCAAGTCCAAACCTGGGTTAAAGTTTTATTTCCTACAAATTTCCTAAATCCAATAATCATGAGTCGACAGAGGAGCACTCAGGCTGACAAGAAACCTAGGTAATATTACTGATATTAAACATTACTTCCGCCTCACACGGTCCCAACTTGGAATGTTATTTCACCGGTATATTAGTTGTCGATTCTCAACTTCTCCCGGGATGCAAACGTTAAGCTTAATAGTATTCTTTGGCAGCTGATCAGGATTTTAAAACCCTCCGCTGCAGGTTGTTGGTATTACCCAGACACTAATAGAAGCCACTGTTAGAACCAGTACGATAAATATCGTGCACATCACTGAATCTTAATCGAGATACCTACCAACAACTAAATAGGTTTTATTCAGTAGATACAAGATTGATGACATGTGTACTTAGTGAAATGGTTTCAAGTTCGGCAGGGAACCAAAACCAATATTAATACACGCATTGGCTGGCCATTCACATTTGCCGTAATACGGTAATACTTAGAGCCGAGGGCGACGTTCGAATTTCGCCACCGTTTGGAGCTTGCCAGCAGCTCAACTTTATACTTAACTGCAATCACAGTAGCATGTCGAGAGCCTGAGGACGTTTTTGCTAGCGAGATTCAATTGCACTCCAGATCCAAGGACCACATGGTATTATTATGTAAATGTAAGTATCACGGCATGATTGGGAAAAATACAAATGAGTGGCCACATTGCAGATCATACTACTACTAAGAGATTAGAGATGAAGCAAGTGCGTAAAGGAGTATAAATCGTATCAAGGTATTTAGGCGGAGACAGGAGTGCAACCAATGTTGACCTAAGCAATGAGATCATGATTAGATGCGAGGATATATTATATTTAGTAGTAAAAAAGCGACTCACAAGGCCATTGAAGTTGTTGCCTTCACAGCACACGGGTTGTTGCGCACAGTTGGGGCCAACGGCGCCAGCACTGAATTAAATCAATTAAATAAATACTACTATGGCTGGAATACAGTAATTCGGTTAAACTTACATGACGGGGACATTGGTGCAGCCAAGACCGACCGTGGCGGTGATGCCCTGGATGGCAGCCGCAAGGAGGTTACCAGCCTGGGAGACAACGGCGGGGTCAGTGGCCTTGCCAACTACGTTGCAGCACTTGACGGGTCCTGATTAATTATTAAGGGATGAGTAAATTGAGCTGAAGAACTAAGAAATTATTAATAACATACCGGTGTTGCACTGGGAGACACCGCCGGCGGCGGCAGCAGCGACGAAAGCAGAGATAATGGCGATTTTGGAGAACATTGTGAGAAGAGTGGTTTTGGAGAGGCTACGATGTGAGGGAGTAAACTGAGGAATTTAGAGCAGAAATTCTGAGACATTTATACCTGAAGGGTCTCGCTAAGCAGCCTGATCATCGGGTCTTTAGACGTCGGCGGAGGACTGAAGTATTAGATCTTCTGAAACGAAATCATGACTGAATTCCTTTCAAAACGATAAGTACATTCTGAAGAACCGTTTCAATGCTGCAGGGAAGTCTCTGTATACGAATTATGAAACTTCCCGAGGTGCTCGCCCGCGACCACGTTCAATAGCGTTCAATGCACTAGATTAAATGTGTTGTCTTGATTCCTCCAGAATCCAAGCAAGATGATTATATTCTGGGCATTAACATGTCCTCGATGATATTCGCACCCCATGTATAGCCTGAAACGCGAAGGGGTTGAATATATAGGTAGTATGGACTGTTCGCGTCGAGAATCCTGGACCAGCAATAGATCGCCTAGTGACTATTTGGGCATCTACATAACAGTGAACATGAGTACTAGTGCATCGGCGCCACGCATCAGCAAAGTGTGCACGAAGGAGGATTAATTTGTTCTTAGCCCGCCTGGCCTAGATGAGAGGTATGTAATGGTGCACACGATAAATATGTTGCACGTCACTGAGTCTTAATCCAGATATCTACCAATAACTCATTAGACACGAGATTAGTGGCATTTATAGTCAAATAGTTTACCCAAGTTCAGGGATCCTAACCTAATATTAATATGCATATTGGCTCGCCATTCACATTTACGGTAATACGGTAATACTTAGGCCCGAGGGCGACGTTCGAATTCCCCCACCGTTTGGAGCTTGCCAGCAGCTGAACTTTATGCGACTGGACCACTGAACTGCAATCACAGGACGTTTTTGCGCGCGAGATTCAATTCCTTCCGTTCTTGCGCTCCAGAAAAGGACCACATGGTAGTATTATGTAAATGTAAGTATCACGGCATGATTGGGAAGGGTACAAATGAGTGGCCACATTGCAGATCATACTACTATTAAGAGATTAAAGATGAAGCAAGTACGTATAGGGTATAAACCGTATCAAGGTATTTATAAGGAGACAGGAGTGCAGCCAATGTTGACCTAAGAAATGAGGTCATGATTAGGATGCGAGAATATATATTATATTTAGTAGTAAAAAGGCAACTCACAAGGCCGTTGAAGTTGTTGCCTTCACAGCACACGGGTTGTTGCGCACAGTTGGGGCCAACGGCGCCAGCACTGAATTAATTCAATTAAATAAATACTACTATGACTGGAATATAGTAATTCGGTTAAACTTACATGACGGGGACATTGGTGCAGCCAAGAGCGACGGTGGCGGTGATGCCCTGGATGGCGGCCGCAAGGAGGTTACCAGCCTCGGAGACAACGGCGGGGTCGGTGGCCTTGCCGACTGCGTTGCAGCACTTGATGGGTCCTAGATTAATTATTAATAAATTAATACATTGCGCTGAAAACGAAGAAATTATTAATAACATACCGGTGTTGCACTGGGAGACACCGCCGGCAGCGGCAGCAGCGACGAAGGCAGAGATAATGGCGATTTTGGAGAACATAGTGAGAGGAGTGGTTTTGTAGGAGAGGCTACGATGTAGATGAAGCTCGAGGGAGGGAGTGAACTGAGGAATTTAGAGCAGAGATTCTTATGTTTTTATACCGGAGGGTCTCGCTAAACAGCCTGATCATTAGACGTCGGCGGAGGACTGCAGTAGTAGATTTCCTGGAACGAAATCACTGGTATTGACTGAATTGTTTTCAAAACGGTACCGGTCTACGTTCTGAATGACCGTTTCAGTGCTGTATGGAAATCTCTGTATATTATGAAACCTCCCGGGGAGCTCGCCTGCGACCACGTTCAATGCACCAGGATGCATTGTCTTGATCTTTTAAATTCCAAGTAAGATGATTATATTCTCGGCGTTAACGGTATATCCTGAAACGCGAAGGGGTTGGAATAAATCAATCGGTCTGGACTGTTCACGTCAAACTGAAGAAGACTCCGGCAATAGATCGCCTATTCGGGCATCTACATAACAGTGAGCATAAGTAGTACATAGTGCTGCATCGGCGCCACCGGGTAAGCAAGGTGTGCACGATTCGAGCATTGTTTGTAGTCCGCCTAAAGTATATAGCTCCCTCAGGGTGCTACCCTGGTGATTATATCGCTCGTTCTGCATTGCATCGCTTACTAGCTCAATTGGTAGAGCGTGGGACTCTTATATTCAGTCTTTACAGGCTAAAGTGTCAGATAATAATCTCAAGGCTGGGAGTTCGATCCCTCCGTAAGGTTAGAGCTTTTTGACAGCGGACTATCTTTTTAATATTTCAATAGCATGTATTGATATTGTATAGAAAATCGCTACGATATCTCTGTTTGATAATTCTTATCAAACTGTCTTAATTAATAATACTGGCCCACTGGGAGTTCATGTTCATTTACCGTAACCCCGGGTAAAAACGAGATCCTCTATTTCTTCCCCCAGTTGTCTCCAACAACGCTTTCAAATTGGTGAGCGTGATCGCAGGCAAATACTTGTTATACCCGTGACAGAACCGTCAGACAAACAACCACCGATCTAATGTGACTATATTATTAAAAAATAAAAATAAAAATAAAAATAAATGATCCAGCTTGGATTTGAACCAAGGCCCTCCAGCCATATATGCCCTATCCTTGTCCCCTGCTTAGCTATAGCATGCTCCGCCTCAACGGTCATAATCTCCTGATGGCTCTGCGGCTCTTACTCCAGGTTACGCGGATCTCATGTCCCGCGGCAGATGCATCTCATAGTCTAACACTCCCGCTGGGCTCACCATCCATTGCGCGGTTTAGTGTGCGCACAGGGCTCGTTCGTTAAGCTCATAACCTGTTAAGATGTGACCCAGCTTTGGGATTGAACCAAGGCCCTTTGGCGGTATATGCCAGCGCTCTAACCGCTGAGCTACCGGATCGTTGTTAGATACTTTCATATAGCATGCTACTCTACCTTCAAAGTCGCTCTCCGGTCTATTATGCGATAAATTATTTTATGCTCCCACAAGCGCGTTCCGAGGCACAAAACAGGAGCACTTCATCCAAGGGGGCACGGCGCGTTCAGGTTAAGCTTGAGAATATTGCTCCTTTGTGCTCGGAGCCTCGTAAGTCGCACTGGCAGCCTTTCGACAGATTTGTGATACTGAGCTCGACCATCAAATGTTTAATTTCCCTTTTAAATGCAATAAATAAAGAGATTGGGGAGAGTGGGGTGGTTCAGGCTGTGAAATCATCTTTTCCACAAAACATAAGGTCGGGAGGGAGGATGCCAGCCAACCCGAAAATAGCAGGTTTCGCAAAAACATATATACCCTAGTGTGCAAAAAAGGTCCTTGTGCCCCCTTGACTTCATCCTTAATAATAAATAAAGAATAATTTTGGTGTTGTCCCGCTCATCGACTGTGACCCCTTCAAACACATATCGCAGAGCCTGCGTATGCTAGTACCGCTAATGATTTAATATACCTCTATATTCCAAAGTATAGTAGGTGACGTCCTGCCATATCGCTATCGAACTCGTCGTCACACACACACCGAGCCAAATATAATTGGTACACAAATCCCAAGATCATATTACGATACCAATACAAAGCCATTTATCTTATCAATACATCCTCCACTGCCCTAGGGTATACACACCGCAAGGCCCTAACAGCCTCACCATAACTCAGCTCGCCTCACTTAAAACGATTCCACCGACGCCTCATTCGTATCCACTGACGGGTGCACCATATAATACACCTTCTTCTCCCCGCCCGCGCCCTCCTCGCCATCTCCTGCGCTGCGCAACGTCTCGTCCATGTCCGTCTCCTGCGACTCGTTCACGTCGCCGTTCACTTCGATGAGGTAGTTGTCCTGCAAGCGAACGTATAATCAGCATAAACACGAAGGAGTGAAAAGGAAAAACCCACCTTAACAAGCCGCCTAAGAACCTTCCGAATCAGCTCCCCCTGATACTCCAGCTCCTCCACATCGCGCATCTCCTCCTCCTTCTGCTCGAGGTACCAATCGACCAGCTCGTCGCGATCGATCCCCCGCCCGGTGGCGCGCTCGTGTGCGCTGAGATGGAGGATGATCATGCTTTGCATGGCGACGTATTCGTCGTGGGTGATTTTTAGTTTTCTTTTTGGCGCGGGGGGAGGAGGAGGGGGGGAAGAGGGTGCCCCTAGTTGGGCGGTGGACCCGGTGGCGCGGGTGGGGGAGGTTGGGTGTGTGGAAGAGGTGGTGTTGTAAGAGGCTTCCATGGAGTCGAGGGCGGCGAGCTGTTCGTCTGTCATGGTGTCGTTGTCGTCGCCCTCGTTTCCGTTACGGTTGCCATTGCGATGCTCATCCTTCCGCCCCTCAAGCTCCTCCTCGTCGAACTCTATATCGTCTTGCTCGACGTGGATGATCGATTGGCGGAGGAGGCTGTAGGCTTCGCGCACGAAGGCGGGTGTTATCTACGACGATGAATGTGAGTTTATGCGTGAGGATATAAGGGGGTGGGTGGATACGCACCTCATTCGTGCAATTTGCCCGCGCAATAGCCTCGCTCAGCCGAATCATACTCTCCAACTGCCTCACCGTAATGCGATACGAGTTCTTCCCCGCCCCAGTCGCGTCGTCCTGCCTCAACAGCCTATACTTCTCCACCAGCACGTCCGAGGCTTCGCGCGTCATCTACACAACAATCAGCCCACCATCCTCCATACAATACAATGAAAAATGAAATACCTTCGGATCAAACGTCCTCGCAAACCGAATATACCGCTGCAACGCCTCCGTGCTAAATTCCGGATTGACCGCGCCATCCCTAAACCGATGCACCCCCACAATATGCCTCGCCAGCATCTCATCCACCTTCTCATCACACTCATCCAGCACCACAAAAAACAGATCAAACCGACTCATAATCGGCGCGCTCATCGCCACGTTTTGCCTTAACGTCTTCTTGCGATCATACCGCCCCCCCACAGGGTTCGCAGCAGCAAGAATGCTCGTCCTTGCATTGAGGGTCGCGTGGATGCCGGCTTTGGCTATGGAGATAGTCTGCTGTTCCATCGCTTCGTGGATCGCGACCTGGTCCGCGATGTCCATTTTATCGAATTCGTCGATGGCGCAGATGCCGTTGTCGGCGAGCATGAGGGCGCCGGCTTCGATTGTGAATTCGCCGGTTTCTTCGTCTTTGACTACTGCGGCGGTGAGACCGGCGGCGCTGGAGGCCTTTCCAGAGGTGTAGACGGCGCGCGGGAGGAAGGAGCATACGTATCTGTGTCGTGTTGTTAGGGCGGGATAAGGGATGAGGGATGTACTACGCACTTTAGGAACTGCGATTTCGACGTGGAGGGATCACCAACGATGCAGATATTGATATCCCCGCGGAGGTTCATCCCCTCCTTCGTGGACTTGTGCACGCCGCCCATGAGCTGGAGGAGGAGGCCCTTCTTGACGATCTCGTGCCCGTACACGGTGGGCGCGATGCTCTCCACTAAGCGGGAGTAGATGTAGTCGGAGTGCACCATCGCTTTGAGCTCTTCCACCTCCGGGTCGGTGAGACTGCGCACGAAGGCGGCTTGGTCGTTGTCGTTTGATTCTTCTTCGCCGCGGACGTTTGTTATCTGGTGAGATATGAGTTGAGTGTGGGTGAGAGAGAGAGATGTAGAAAGCGCACTCGTCCATCCGCCCCGTGCACCATACACGCCAAAAACGCCGTCTTATACTGCAAATCCCTCACCCCGAGACTCTTCAGTCCCGTCACGCCATTCCCCCCTACACCCGCCCTCCCCGCCGCGCCGCCCTTCGCCTCGCGCATCATCTCCGCATTTACACCTGGCAGGCCCATCTGGCTCACATCGGGTACAGCGATGAACGTCCCCGTGAAGACGGCGCGGTCACCCGCCTTAGCGCGCTCGACCATCTCGTCGCGCAGGATAACGTCGAGCGAGCGCGGCATGGACCCAGTAGGGATCTCGGACGGGTTCTCCTGGATCCGCACTTTTTGCCAATCCGTGAATTTGGACTTTTCGATGGAGAGCGTCCAGGCGGAGCGGTTGCCGCAGGTGGGGTTGGGGCAGAGGTTGGGCTGCAAGCAAAGCAGGGTTAGTGGATGGCGTGGGGTGGGTGGGTAAGGCGTACCTCGGTGTATTTGAACTGCTGTTCCACTTCGTTGACGGTGCCGCCGCATTCGGCGCAGACGAAGCTGCCGTAGACCAATTCGGGGCGGACCTCGCTCGTGCGCGTGACGGTGCCGCTGATGCTCATGAGCGTGCCGATGCGCTCTGTCTTGAGCTCGCGGATGCCCCCGACGAGAGGGAGGTGATAGAACGCGATGCTGAACTCGCGTGTTTGGAGGCCGGCGGCGGAGGTCGCGCTGGCGGTCGCGTTGACGTAGACGTACGTGGGCTCGTAGATACGCACAAGGTTGAGCAACGCGCGGCGGAGGTACGGGAGGAAGCGGTAGTATTGGTCGGAGATGGCGCGGGCGAGGACCTCGTCGCGCTGAAGAAGGTGGGTATAGTCGACATAGAGCGTCGTCAGCTCGAACTCTTTCATCGTGTGGATTTGGTCGATGTACACGAGCGTGCCGGGATCGTCGTCGTTTTCGCCGTCGCCGAGTTCGACGGCCTCGGTGTAGCTAGAAGGGTGTCAACGGCGCGACAACGCGTGGATGAAGGGAAGGACGCACGTCTTGAGAAACATCTCGAAGCTCTCCATCACCTTTTCGCCCGTCGCATCCTTCACGACGGGGATGTCGCCTTGGCGCTGGTTCTTCGCGCGAGGGCGGCTGCGTCTGCTCGATGTCTCTTCTTCCGCCTCGTCGTCACCGGCGCCGTCGTCAGCGTCGTCATCCAAGGCAAGCGGGTCTGCGGTGCGCGTCTGGCGCGAGCGGGGTGTAGAGCTGTTGTTTGTTGCAAAGGGTGCGCTGCTGGGAGGCAGAGAGGAGCGTGGACCGAGTCGCGAGGAGGAGGCCATGTCGATGTCCATAGTGAAAAGTGATTGACGCGTCCACCCACGCCCACAACGCGTAGTGTTAATTACAAGACCGCTAAACGCCCGTTGTCACGCTCTGAAAGAATATTATATCTCCTCGTTAGGAGGGCATTCCTTGGTGTTAAGAGACGCTGCTGTCAAAAAGCTTTAGCCCTACGGGGGGGGTCGAACCCCCAACCTTGAGATTATTAGACAATCCAACCTGTGAAGACTAGATGTAAGAGTCTCACGCTCTACCGATTGAGCTAGCAAGGCGGTGCATAAGGGGACGAGCGATACAATCCCCAGGGTAGCACGCTGGGGAGAAGGAATTAAATCTCGTTCGTAAAACGTTGAAGTTCCTTTCTATTCCAACCTCAATTAAACCTTGAGAAATAGCAATCAAAAGTAGGATTTAAAGTTTACGCAATAAGTGCCCGGATCCTTGCATAGGTCCACGGATATTCTGATGAAGACGTCAGCTTAGAAAAAATGATAGCCTGATTCCAGTGAGCTGAAGAAACTTCGAGGACGTATACCAAATGAGGTGGCATTGTTTTCTTGGAAGATATACCACCAGTGTACGTATACCTGACATAAACTAAAGCCTGAGCCGAGTGCGAGTCAAAGATCTGCATTGTTCCGTTCTGTCATGATGTCTAGTAATATTTTTTGGTTGAATAAATAATTCTCATTTACTCAGATGATCACCAGTAAAGACGACACTAGGTGTTACGCTGAGTACTATTACGTCGGCCCTCAGCAAAGGTCTGCAATCAGATCCGTGGAAATATAAAGAAAAATTGCTTCTTCACTAAGATCTCAAACCGTCCCATCTATACAACATTCTGCCCACCTTTCCCCATATCGGAAGTCGCTGAAATCAATTTCGGTGAGAACGGACCCAATAACAGCTGTATTTCCCGGCCAAAGTAGTCCACGCCTATTCCGCTGTGGAAGCCAGAAGAGTAATCTTCTATGATAAGATCCAGGTATCGGAACTGTCACCCATCCCTCATCAGATTCGTCATTTTTTTCATGCAGCTGACAGGAGTGTGTAAATTCATATGCTTGCATCGATTGTTGCAGAACAATTGAATCTTTTGATAATATGCGAGTTTGAGTAAAGGTATCAAGAGGAAGCAAAAGTCTTACCATTATTGGGAATATCATTTTCTGTACGCAATTCAGAAGATTGCTCTGGACTGTTTAGAGCAAGAGGGGTGTTCGTATGATCTTTCTCTAGGGAAAGTAGATGTGCTAACTCCCAGATACGGATGACTTGATCCATAGATGCAGAAATTAATAGCCTGCCATCAGGCGAGAGGGCTACAGATGTGATTCCCGATAGGTGGCCTTGGAGAGGCTGTCCTATCATCTGGTGTGTCTTGGCGTTCCAGAGACAGATCGTAGTATCCTCAGACCCGGAAATAATATACTGCCCATCTGAAGTGAAAGCCAGAGTGTTAAGTTTACCTGTATGACCACCATTGAGCTCTCCAACCTCTTGACCTGTCTTGGCATTCCGGATTTCAATGTCATAACCACAGGAAAAGATGACTAGTTGGTTATCTGGAGAGAAGACAGCACATGAGACATAACTTCCGTTCACGTGCATGGGCTCTCCTATTTGTTCGCCTGTCAGTGCATTCCAAATATTCATTGACCTGATATAAGAGGCGGAGAATATGATCTGATGATCTGGCGAGAAGACTACACATGTGAGTCGAGTGCGTTGGCCTTTATGGCCTAGAAAAGGCTCTCCTATCGTCTGACCAGTCTTCGCATCACAGACACGAAGTATACCCTCCTCATACTCATAGGCAGCACATTCCCCATCTGGTGAGAAGGCAACGAGTCTCCTACTATCTTCGGGAGCCTTTATGGGGTCTCCTATCCTTTGACCTGTCATGCAGTTCCAGAGAACAATTGTGTTATCACGAGAGCAGGAAATCATATGTTCCCCATCTGAAGTAAAGACTACGGACTTGAGTGCATTATATGCTCCATGACTATTCGTGAGGAAAGGCTCGCCTATTCTTTGACAGGTCGTGACATCCCATATACTGATGGCCCCATTGTAATTGGCTGAGAGAATACGCTGGCTATCTGGAGAAAAAGCGAGAGACTGAAAACTACTGCGATGTCTATAGCTGGGGAATTGTTCTCCTTTTGTCTGGGCTGTCTTGGCGTCCCAGACGGAGAGTGTATTATCGAATGAACCAGAGACAATGTTTTGTCCATCTGGAGAGACAGCTACACAGGAAACAATATCGTTATGGCCATGCTGAAACCTTCCGATCCTCACTTGAGTAAGAGCATTCCAGATATAGATTGCGTTATCATAACAGCCAGAAAGGATAAGTTGCCCATCTGGAGAGAAGGCTACAGATGTAACCCAATCTTCGTGGCCCATGTGGTATCTTCCCCCATACTTCCAGGTTTTGGCATCCCAATAAAAGACGGATTTATCATAAGACCCAGAGACAAAACATCCACCATCTGGAGAGAAGGCTAAACAGCTAACACATTCATTGTGCCATTTAAGAGGCTCTCCTAATCTCTTGCTTGTCCTACTGTCCCAGACATAGATCATGCCATCCTCAGAGCCAGAAATAATGTGTTTGCCATCAGGAGAGAATGCTATGGCTGTGACACTATCTGTATGGCCTAGAAGAGGCTCTCCTAATCTCTGGCCTGTCTTGGCATCCCAGATACAGATGCTGTTATCATGAGAAGCGGATATTATATGCTGACCGTCTGGAGAATACGCTACAGATGTGACTCTGTCCGTGTGGCCCTGGAGAGGCTTCCCTATCCTATTACCGGTCTTCGCGTCCCAGACACAGATTGTCATGTCCCAAGATCCAGAGACAATATGCTGACCATCTGGAGAAATTGCTATACTTGTGATTCGACGTGTATGGGCCTCGGGTATCTCTTCTATCCTCTGTGCTGCTTTAGCACCCCAGATACATATCGTGAGATCATCAGATCCAGAGTAGATATAACGACCATCGGGAGAGAAGGCCACACATGTGACATAATCAGTATGTCCCTTTAACCTATGATATATCTGAGGCCATTGCGACCACTGTCCTTTGAGTATCTTCAAGGTGTTTTTAACGACAGGAGAGTAGTATCTTGCGGTTAGAGAGGAACTAGGCGCAAGGGGTAAGGCTGATAGATAGATATGTGGAAGGCTTTTTGCAATCGGTTCTTGAAATGTAGATACGAAATATCTTGCATCTATTGCAAACTCTGCGATAAACTTTGATGTTGGCTACAAATGTATTCAATAATACGTATTATGGAGTGAATAGATTAGACCTACCTCGAAGTAAATCGCAGCCGCCCACAGCTGTGGAGCTGCTGCATACGCTATATTCATCAGGCTCAAAACCTCTAGCCAGTGTAACAAATGCTGAGTGAAGAATGTTGTCACGAAGTCAGACAAAGATGCCATTGGATAATCAGCCAATGGTTCTTTTAATCCTCGTGTACTTGCTTGTAAATGTGTTGCCCAGTACCGAGACGCATAAGTCAATGTGCTAGATATTCTGCTTGAGATGTTCTTATCAAGCTTTCTAGCATCATCATTTGAAAGCAAAGACGATGGAAAATCGGAAATGTTGAAACACAGCTGTGCATCCAGCAACTTTAGTAATCCATGCGCTAAGTCTTGATGTTGCCTCTCCAAGTTAATTTGAAATGTAATGGGCTTAGCCTTGACCTTTTCGGCATATGCTTGAATAGCCTCTTCAACGCGCTGTGAACCATTGTGAAAGAAATCAATGAAGGATTGATGACATAAACGGATAGGTTGCGTTTGATCATTCACATCATCAATTAACAAAATCGATCTAGCCTTTGAAATAGCACCTCGTATGTGGCCCGGAGTAATGTTGCTATTCATTTGCTGAATAATTTCATCGAGGTCGTTGAACGTCAGTGGCTCTTGGGCACAGAGGATGGTGCCAAGAACTAGTTGATATGCTCTTCGTTCCGCACTTCGAAGTCCATGAAAGATGTTGTAAAGTATTTGACTGTACAGTTCATCTATCCGAGCTGTGCTATTGTCACCTTCCTCGTCTCCAAAGTTATATGAGCCCATATATTGGAGTACTTCTTCTAAACGAAGTTCAGGTGTTTCATCGCCTTGTAGGAAATCAACAACCAGTTTAGCCCAAATAAATAGACCGGCCGCATAAGCTGAGAGTCTGGAGATGGTATTTTCTCCGGGCCACGACACAGGAAGTGAATAATCCATCCTGATATCTTCAAAGCATGCGCGAAGGAAGAATTTAATATCATCGTTGGTCGCTAAATCAACTGCTGGACCAGTGTAAAGTTGTATTGCTTGAACATTCTCTATTTTGTTTAGCAATGCCATGATATCACGATCCTGTCGTGTCGTTATGATTATCCTGATAGGCAATTCAAGCTCTGCCTGAAGTTCGCTGTAGAGCTGAAGCGTTGCGAGGAATGCCTTTCTAGCCTCTTTGTCGGATGAATCACATTCATCAAGTGCGTCAATGAGAAGTATTGGAGATTCGAGTTGTTTGAGCCTGTCCTTTACCGCCTTCAACGTTTTGACAATGAGCTCTTGAAACTGTTCCTTAATACCTAGTGTATGAACGTAGGAAGAATCTTTGCTCCAAAAAAAATTCTGGAGATGTCTGGCAATGCATCTGTACTTCTGAGCAAGTTGAAATGCGATAGTTCGCCAAACGAGAGAAGAACTTTGAAATGTAGTCTCGTTCCGTTTGAAGAAGAAGTGCGCTGTGCGATGATATGGCAATCTCTTGAGTGCACTGACGGCAATGGCGGTCTTTCCTGCTCCAGGGCTGCCCGATAGGAAAAGGACATTTTTGTCGGTTTGAGAAGAAGCCCAGACATCTATCTGTTCAAGAATTCTAGTTCGGGTTCCATCGGTACAGCCTTTGGGATATTCTTTTGACCGTGCCGGCTGCAAAAGTGTCTCGAGTGCCTCTATCATCTTGGACGAAACTGCGAGGAATGTCAATTATATTATAAGAACTTTAATGAAACGACTAACCAAGACTTTCCACGTGCTTAGCAGTTTGGGATGATAATGCAGTCAATAAGTCGATTTTCAGGCCTCCCAGTTTGTCTTTGAATCCTTGTAAGCCCTGTGAGTTGAGTTGAATAGTGACCTGTCGTTCTATCAAACACATTAATACATCTGTTCAAGATCGGCTATGGTTATTCACTAACGTGCAGCATTTTTGATCATATGCTCGCCGATGAACCTTGCAGCTTCTAGGATAATCTTGAAGATATTGGAGATGCAAGTCCTGACGAAATCAGATATCGGGGTTTCTTCAAGGTCCTTCATTAGGTCTTCAAACGAACGAATTTCGTCCTTAAGGGCTTTTAAATTATCAATGAAATCTTGCTGATTTTTTAACATCTAAATGTATCCAAGGTAATTAATAGAAGAAACGGAGCATTGAAATAGCATACTGTGTAGGGCACAGTGAGTATCATCATTGCGGCTTGAGCTACAGGATGTATCTATGTTAATATACCTAAGTCATATTCATAATTGATCAAAAAGACACAAACGTACAACGGTAAAGTAGGATACTGCTTGCACGATGGTATCAGCCATACCGCGAACATGATCCAACACGGAATGGAGCCCAGCTATAGCATCTACAACATCGTCATATTCACCACTTGGGTCCCTGAGGGTAACCATTTGCTCCTAGGAAAATGGAATTAAAAGGTGATATGAAAAAATAGGAGCCTCTTTGCTACTTACCAACGTAAAATAGGTGACAGTCGCATAAACATTAATGGTCATACCCGCATGCTCCTCTGGTTAGAAGTTTGATAAGCTATTGCTCCCATAAAAGTGAATATGCAGGAGGTACTTACTTATTACCCATGTAGTCTCACTAACCAGCCCCGCCCTCCAAGAATATCTGTCGTTAAGACGTTCAAATATCTCCGTAAACGTAAACCGTTGTGGATTAACCGCTGTGGAGCTGGTGCTTCCAAGTTTATACTTCGGCCGAGAAGGAACTTGAACTTGAAGAGGCTGAATAACCAGTTCTTGACCATGAACTAGATCCCTGCATAACGGATAAGATATATTGAACCCATTAAGTGTTTAGAAGTATTCCACACGTACAACGGCTTAAGCTTTGGTATGTTCCACCAATAGGTCCCGCGTTTCCATTCGTCGCTGTCAGCTTCTGCTTGGATCTTCTTGTCGCCAACTTGAATCTTCAGAGTTTCCGAGAGTTTAAAATTCGCTGGAGGCTGTATTTTGATAGCTACAGATAACAATCAGTATCTTTTCAGCAATGACTCTCGCAGTGAGTGGGCACATACAAGTTATAGTGGCACTTTAGAGACAATCAGCGATTTATCATGATGGAATTACAGCGAGTAGTATACGCACTATGCACCAAGGCTGTTATGAGAGGTCATAGTATCTGTTACACAACTTCTTAGGGTACAGTTGTGCGTTGGGACAATGGGAGCTGAGAAGCACGCAGTCCAGATTTGGCGACGTGCTATGTGCGCGCGACAGGCTATGCATCACGCGAAGGAACCGAGAGTTCTAAAATAGCAAGATCGATAATTCTTGAAGTACGTTCAACTTCAATAAGTGATTGCGATGAGCGATGAGCAGCTTGAGTTCGATGATCACAGTCTAGATCAAGAAGTTATTTCACTTGGATTCGCTGGATCTCGTTTGGATTTCTCCCCAAAGTGTACGAATTCACAGACTCAGCGCCAAAATGAATGACTGCGTTGCATAATGCAGTGGCATTGTATATCCTGAAACGCGAAGGGGTTTGAATAAATAAATCGGTATGGACTTTTCACGTCAGATTGAAGAAGACTCCAGTGATAGATCACTTATTCAGGCATCTACATAACAGTGAGCATAAGTAATACATAGTGCTGCATCGACGTCACCGGGTCAGTGAGGTGTGCAAGATTCGAGTATTATTCTTAGCCCGCCTAAAATATGTAGCTTTATTAATTATGTATGTGCCTCCCTCAGGCTGCTACCCTACTGATTATATCGCTCGTTCTACCCTGCACCGCTTTGCTATCTCAATCGGTAGAGCGTAAGACTCTTACATTCACTCCTCACAGGCTAGAGCGTCAGATAATAACCTCAAGGTTGGGGGTTCGACCCCCCCCCCTTAGAGCTTTTTGACAGCGGACTATCTTTTTAATATTTCAATAGCATGTATTGATATTGTATAGAAAATCGCTACGATACCTCTGTTCGATAATTCTTATCAAACTGTCTTAATTAATAACACTGACGCATTCGCCCACTGGCAGTTCATGTTCATTTGCCGTAACCCCGGGTAAAAACGAGATTCTCTATTTCTTCCCCTAGTTATTTCCAACAACACTTTCAAATTAGTGAGCGTGATCACAGGCAAATACCTGTTATACCTGTGACAGGACCGTCAGACAAACAACCACCGATCTAATATAGCTATATTATTTGAACTTAAAAAATAAACGATCCAGTTTGGATTTGAACCAAGGTCCTCCAACCATATATGCCATGTCCTTGTCCCGTGCTTAGCTATAGTATGCTCCACCTCAACGGTCATAATCCCCTGATGGCTCTGCGGCTCTTACTCCAGGTTACGCGGATCTCATGTCCCGCAGCAGACGCATCTCATAGTCTAACACTCCCGCTGGGTTCACCATCCATTGAGTGTGCGCACAGGGCTCATTCGTTCTGTAGCTCATAACTTGTTTAAATGCGATCCAGCTTTGAGATTGAACCAAGGCCCTTTGGCGGCATATGGCGGCGCTCTAACCACTGAGCTACCGGATCGTTGTTAGATGCTTTCATATAGCATGCTACTCCACCTTCAAGGTCACTCTCCAGTCTATTATGCGATAAATTATTTTATGCTCCCACAACCGCGTCTTTCCGAGGCACGAAACAGGAGCACTTCATCCAAGGGGGCACGGGGCGTTCAAGTTAAGCTTGAAAATATTGCTCCTTTGTGCTCGAAGCCTCGAAAGTCACACTGGCAGCCTTTCGACAGATCTGTGATACTAAGCTCGACCATCAGATGTTTAACTTCTCTTTTAAATACAATAAATAAAGAGAGTGGGGAGAGTGGGGTGGTTCAGGCAGTGAAATCATCTTTTCCACAAAAAATAAGGTCGGGACGGAGGATGCCCGTCAACCCGAAAATAGCAGGTTCGCAAAAACAAACAATACAATCAGCCCACCATCCTCCATACAATACAATGAAAAATGAAAGATGAAATACTTTCGGCTCAAACCTCCTCGCGAACCGAATATACCGCTGTAACGCCTCCGTACTAAACTCCGGAATGACCGCGCCATCCCTAAACCGATGCACCCCTACAATATGCCTCGCCAGCATCTCATCCACTTTCTCATCACACTCATCCAGCACCACAAAAAAAAAAACGGATCAAACCGCCTTATAATCGGCGCACTCATCGCCACGTTCTGCCTTAACGTCTTCTTGCGATCATACCGCCCCCTCCACAGGGTTCGCAGCAGCAAGAATACTGGTGCGTGCATTCAGGGTCGCGGGGATCCCGGCTTTGGCTATGGAGATAGTCTGCTGTTCCATCGCTTAGTGAATCGCGACCTGGTCCGCGATGTCCATTTTGTGAATTCGTCGATGGCGTAGATGCCGTTGTCGGCGAGCATCAATGCGCCGGTTCCGATTGTGAATTCGCCGGTTCCTTCGTCTTTGACTACTGCGGAGGCGAGGCCGGCGGCGCTGGAGGCCTTTCCAGAGGTGTAGACGGCGCGCGGGAGGAAGGAGCATACGTATCTGCGTGGGGAAGCGGGGGTTAGGTGGGTTTGTGCGGAGATATGTGGTAGGCACGTACTTATTTCGACGTAGAGGGATCACCAACGATGCAGATGTTGATATCCCGGCAGAGGTTCATCCCCTCCTTCGTGGACTTGTGCACGCCGCCCATGAGCTGCAGGAGGAGGCCCTTCTTGACGACCTCGTGCCCATACACGGTGGGCGCGATGCTCTCCACTAAGCGGGAGTAGATGTAGTCGGAGTGCACCATTGCTTTGAGCTCCTCCACCTCCGGGTCAGTGAGACTGCACAGGAAGGCAGCTTTCGCCGTCGCCAAGTTCGACGGCCCCGGTTTAGCTAGGAAAATGTCAACGGCGCGATAAGATAACGCGTGAATGAAAGGACGCACGTCTTGAGAAACATCTCGAAGCTCTCCATCGCCTTCTCACCCGTCGCATCCTTCACCACTGGGATGTCGTCTTCGCGCTGGTTCTTCGCGCGAGGACGGCTGCGCCTGCTCGATGTCTCTTCTTCCGCCTCATCATCACCGGCGCCGTCGTCAGCGTCGTCATTCAAGGCAAGCGGGTCTGCGCGAGCGGGGTGTGGAGCTATTGTTTGTTGCAAAGGGTGCGCTGCTGGGAGGCAGAGAGGAGCGTGGACCGAGTCGCGAAGAGGAGGCCATGTCGACGTCCATGGCGAAAAGTGATTGACGCGTCCACTCACGCCCACAACGCGTAGTGTTAATTACAAGACCCGTTGTCACGCTCTGAAAGAATATTATATTTCCGGCTCACCTTCGCAAAAGAAGCATTAGGAGGGCATTCCTTGGTCTAACGGTGTTAAGAGATTAAAAAGGCACGCTGTCAAAACGCTCTAGCCCTACGGGGGGGTCGAACCCCCAACCTTGAGATTATTAGACAATCCAGCCTACGAAAACTGATTATAAGAGTCTCACGCTCTACCGATTGAGCTAGCAAGGCAGTGCGTAATTCGCTGGCAAAACGTTCACATGCTACTCGACTCTGAAGCTGCTTATTCCAGCCTAAACCCTGAGAAACAATGATCCAAAGTAGGGTTTGAAATTCGTGCAACAAGTGCCGGGAATATTCCTTGCATAGACTGATACCGATGAAGAGGCCGACCTGAGCTGAGAAGAAAGATAGCATAGCCGGCCAGTGATTCTACAGTGTCCGTCGGTGGTTTCCAACGAACGCCCATCTCCAATCCGCCCATTTATAATAGCATCCGGCTACACATAGTTGAAGGTCTAATTAAGCGTTAAATAGAGCTACCTGAACCTACAATATTGACTGAACCCCTTGAACTAATTTCAACCTTTTCATTTATTTTTTTCGAAACTAATTGGCGCTTGGGCGCTTAATATAGGGAAAAGGCAGTAATAAAATAGTAATAATTCCAATTAATCATTGAGACCTCTTTTGAGGAATATCTGGAAGTCATGACTATATCTCAAGCTATTTAGAGCCTTCCAGAACTGATCCAGTCTATCATCAGTCGTGGCCCCACGGTAGCCATACTATGTTGTGACAGTAGATGTTCTCTATATAGGAAGCTTAAAGCTAATATATTCTAAGATAAGTAGCCATTATTTTAGAAATTAACAGCCGTAGCAATGATTCTAATCAGCTTTAAACAAAATTTAAATGATATTTAAAATTTTGGACCTCAAAAAATTGGCGGCGGGTACCTATTTTTAGAAAGTTGTAATATTGAGTCTTTTCAATGGTTTTATGATATCTCACTCGGTTTGATCGAGCGAGGCCCAGAAACCGCTTCAGCCAGGCACTGAAAAGCGCTGACAAACACTGTAGTTTACAGTGAGATAAATACCCTGAAGAACCTTCGAGGACGTATCCTAAATGAGGTGGCACTGTTTTTATAGCATCAGTGTATGTATACCTGACATAAACCAAAGCCTGAGCCGAGTGCGAGTGCGAGTCAAAAGTTTGCCCTTGTTCAGCATTATTCCGCTCTGCCATGCGTAAAACACGCCCAGCGGACGATTTGAATTGTCGGACTTGTATGTCCAAAAGAGTAAAAGTGACCCTATAATAGAAAGCAACAATATAACCTTTTAATGCTCGCTTTGTTGAACCCCCAGGCTGTCGTATGTTGCATTTCGAACAATTGAGCATTTTTTGACGCGTTGATGTTAATAATGTTCCTCCTTTTCTGGAATACATAATTCTCATTTATTCAGATGCTCACCGATAAAACGACACTAGGTGTTTCGCTGAGCACTACTACGTCGACCCTCAGCAAAGGTCTGCATAAACATATTATTCAAACCCGTGGAAATATAAAGAAAAATCGCCTCCTCACTAAGATCTCAAACCGTCCCATCTATACAACATTCTGCCCACCTTTCCCTATATCGGAAGCCGCTGAAATCAATTTCGGTGAGAACAGAGCCAATAACAGCCGTATTTCCCGGCCAAAGCAGTCCACGCCTATTCCGCTGTGGAAGCCAAAAGAGTAATCTTCTAAGATAAGATCCAGGTATCGGAACTGTCACCCATCCCTCATCAGATTCGTCATCTTTTTCATGCAGCTTACAGGAGTGTGCAAATTCATATGCTTGCATCAATTGTTGCAGATCAATTGAATCTTTTAATAATATGCGAGCTTGAGTAAAGGTATCAAGAGGGAAGCAAAAGTCTTACCATTATTGCGAATATCATTTTCTGTACGCAATTCAGAAGTTTTTTCTGGACTTTTTAGAGCAGGGGAAGTGGTTTTTGTATGATCTTTCTCTAGGGGAAGTAGATGTGCTAACTCCCAGATACGAATGACTTGATCACTAGATGCAGAAATTAATAGCCTGCCATCGGGCGAGGGGGCCACAGATGTGATTCCCGAGAGGTGGCCTTGGAGAGGCTGTCCTATCATCTGATGTGTCTTGGCATTCCAGAGACAAATCGTAGTATCTTCAGACCCGGAAATAATATACTCACCATCTGAAGTGAAAGCCAGAGTGGTAAGTTTATCTCTATGACCACCATTGAGCTTTCCGACCTTTTCACCTGTCTTGGCATTCCGAATTTCAATGCCATAGCCACAGGAAAAGATGACTAATTGATTGTCTGGAGAGAAGATAGCACATGAGACATAACTTCTGTCCACGTGCATGGGCTCTCCTATTTGTTCGCCTGTCAGTGCATTCCAAATATTCATTGACCTGATATAAGAGGCGGAGAATACGATCTGATGATCTGGCGAGAAGACTACACATGTGAGCGTAGTGCGTTGACCTTTATGACCTAGAAAAGGCTCTCCTATCGTCTGACCAGTCTTCGCATCGCAGACACGGAGTATACCCTCCTCATACTCGTAGGCGGCACGTTCCCCATCTGATGAAAAGGCAGCAAGTCTCCTACTATCTTCGGGAGCCTTTATGGGGTCTCCTATCCTTTGACCTGTCGTGGCGTTCCAGAGAACGATTGAGTCATCACGAGAGCAGGAAATCATATGTTCCCCATCTAAAGTGAAGACTACGGACTTTGCATTATATGCTCCGTAACTATTCGTGTGGAAAGGCTCGCCTATTCTTTGGCAGGTCGTGACATCCCATATACTGATTGTTCCGTTATAATTGGCAGAGAGAATACGCTGGCTATCTGGAGAAAAAGCGAGAGACTGAAGACCATCGCCATGTCTATGGCTGGGGAACAGTTCTCCTTTTGTCTGGACTGTCTTGACATCCCAGACGGAGAGTGTATTATCGAATGAACCAGAGACAATGTGTTGTCCATCTGGAGAGACAGCTACACAGGAAACAATATCGTTATGGCCATGCTGAAACCTTCCAATGCGCTCTTGAGTAAGAGCATTCCAGACATAGATTGTGTTATCATAACAGCCAGAAAAGACAAGTTGCCCATCTGGAGAGAAGGCTACAGATGTAACCCAATCCTCATGGCCCATGTGGTATCCTCCCCAAAACTTCCAAGTTTTGGCATCCCAATAACAGACAGATTTATCATAAGACCCAGAGACAAAATATCCACCATCT